TGAATTAGAGGCAGAATCACCTCAAATTTTGTAGTATCGGCTATCCAGAATTATAATTTGTGCCATTTGAAATTTTCCAAAAATATGAAGTTTGACGAACGTTAATAAAAAATTTTCTTCTTTCGCTAGTGCCTAAAAAAAAAGTGGAAGAGGTCAGTCTGTGCCTCAATTCAAAACTTCTGCGCCGGTGCGATTTAGTTTCGGAAATTGATAAAGTTTACTACACAGGGATATATTAAAAAAACATTCAAGTGATTAAAAAAATTCAAAGAGTTTTTTCTGCTGACACTTAATAATCGTAATCAGTGTTAGAAAAAGTTTCAACAATTTTTACATAAAAAATAGTAATTGTTGCACATAGGTTCCCACGTTAAATTTAATGACAATAATTTCTCTACAGTATGGCATTTTCAATAAATTTTCCAACGAAGTTGGGTTCGCTATTACGGTCACTTTCTCTCTCTGTCCGAAGCTTGAACTACTTCTACAGTTTTCAATACATTTAATTCGTTCATTTTGAATTCGGTAACTGATAGCTGTGGCACCTGTGGCAAGAAAAATCTTGACGATTAATGTGCGCATGCGTTTGTCAACTTAGTTATCGCATATTGTAAACACCCGTCGTGCACATGCGCAATGCAAACTTTCTTATTCACAGAGATATTTTTTTGAAGATATCATTACACTTGGAACCCACAATCCGTAATAGAGTACATTTAAAACATGGGAAGTGACAGCCTCTCGTTGAAACAGCTCACGAGAAAGCTTAACCATCCTTTCGACTGAACACAGGTCACAGAATCCAAACTACTTTTTTGATTCGGTTATCAAATATCTCGGATCCAATAAAAACTTCTGGCACTAATACCTTGTTTATAAATTCCATTTTTCGGTGTGTGTGGCCTCAACTATAATCAACAACAGAGAGGTAAAACAGTACAACTTCCTTTTTCTGGCATATAAAAAACCTTACAAAACCATCAGCAGGTAGAAGTGCTATAAAAATGGACAAACTCAGATATTGAAACGTGATTTGCCTCTTTCCACCTCTTGACCTTGGTGCTTTTCATAGAAAATTTCACTTACAGCATTTCAGAATGCGAATGACCGAATTAATTCAATTAAAGTAATTAACGTGAAAATAACACTGGGTCAGAAACGACCGACTCGATCAGATCGATCCGTTATCTCACAAACCAGAGTTAAACAAAATCTCAATTGCTCGGTTTGTTACATGTGATAATTGAGGTTAATCAATGATTAAAAATATTAGAATGAGAGCTTTTCATGGCCCAGTCTGACGTCGAATTTTTGCCAAATGTGATTTGGATGAAATAGCAAATGAAATCTATTTATACTAAAATAAACGAATTTTCAAGTAAACCGAAAGTTGTTATGATTTATCAAATGTAGTGGTAAATTGGATATCTCAAGTTCTACAAAAACCACATTCTAATCAGGAAAGTGTTAATTATCTATGCCTCCTGTTTTTGTGTCCAAATTCATCTCCATCCATTCATTTCTAAACATGGAGATTCGGTACCTACCCAAAGGTGCCAGATTAAATTTACGCTAAGTATGAAATGTTACATTTGAGAAACTGCAAATTTCACCAAAATTAGCTAGAGCACAGAACTTTCCAGCTGACTTTTTTTAAATTTTGCCTGGTGACAATTTTCAGTAGATATTTGCTTTGACACTGAAGCAATTTCCTGCCCACCTATCTCATTGTAGGTAGATTTTAATGAGATTGTGGTCAAGTAGGCGAGAAAAATTATATTAACACAAGCATTGAACAGTACTTTTCTCAAATTCAATTCAATATGCACTTACTGCAAGTCAGAAATATTGTTGTTTAAACAAGCATATGAATGACAAATCTATAGCCTACATGTACCCACCTTGTGGAAGTTCTCCCAAGCCATACATCGGATATAAATAAGGAGATTTTCCATAGCGTGCCAAAGAATCAGAGTACAACTTAATACGCCTTATGGTAGTAATCGCCGCAGTCTGCAAATAATCATCATCCCTATACAAAGCTAAAGCGTGCCCGGTAAAGTCTTGCGTATTTTTATCTAAACCGAATTTTTCATACAGTTCTTGCATAGTTTGGTTTTGCGCGTCGAACTCTTTCCACGACCGAGGATCTTGCTCGGCGTAATCTTGAACGTAAACTAGGAAATTGCGAAATCTTCGCTTCTCGAACATGCCCATTAAATCGGAGGCCAAAGCTTCTTTCTGATCGACCGGCACCTATAAAATAAATGCGGTTACAAGTTAACAGCAGTAGATGTCGCACGTTTGGAACAGTCATTCACAATTTGTAACAGAAGGAATTAGAAAAAACAGGATTGCAAACTTTTTGCAAGCCACAAGTTCTGCATGAGTTACCTTAAATATGCTTTTAACGGTAAAAGCAAAAAAAACTGATGTAGGTAATTAACTTAGCAAAATTTACATTTCATTAAAACTTGAACCCATCTGTCAAAGGGTATTAGATAAACCAGATAAACTATTTTGTGCTTACCTTGGATATTTTACCCCCTTTGTACACATAACTGCCCTCAACAGATTTGAACTCCAAATAACGTGTAACACCGGTATGTATGAGTAATTTAACTAATTGGCCATTTGCCATAAGGAATTTTGGAATTAAATCTACGTTCCAATCGCGGCCGCGTCCATACGACTCGTCCGGTGGAGGTGCACCAAATTTTGAAAAAAGTTCGTCAAGGGGGCAAATCGAGGCCGACTCCCCGCCGTAGTACTTGTTTCGATCGACATGTAGTACTTTCTTGCCCGATACCGATAACATTCCACTTAAAATACATTCTTTTAGGCCGGTACCCAGAACGATCGCATCGTATTCTTCATCCATTTTAAAGATTATTTAATAGAACTCACAATTAACGAACAATTAATCGCTTCTACACAGTTGATTGTTCGGATTACGGTGCGCAAATCAGCCGACGTCAATTCAATGAACGGAATTGCCAACATTACATGTTCTACCCACCCACCGAAAGCCAAATTACCCTAACTCCAGATCGCCAGGGCCGTATTCTAAACTTTACGTATCATTATTGTGTTCTTGTGAAACTACTGCTATTGGAAAGGAAAGTACAAAATATCAGGCAGCTTACAGAGGTGAAGCAAACGCGCAAGCTAAAATGACGTTTCAATTCAACAAAAAAATATTTATAGAAAAACAATAATGTACATGTAATTGAATCTTGTGTACAATACATTTTTTATTGATTTATATTGGAATTCTTCGAATCGAAAAACAACCGATACCGGAACCTAAAATTACTGAAGCGCAAAACCAGAATCGATACAGGAACATGTAAAAAATAATTCTACCGGACTTATACTTGATATGAGGTCCAACCCCTGCCGCAGAGTGGAGTGTTGTTTTCAGGAAACTTTCCCCTATACTGTGGATCTTGTGATAGCTGAAAAGCAATGGCCATTCACGAATAGAAGGTGAGCGGATTTGGGCTCAGCTGTGGAGGCGGAGGCTCGGAGAGCTTCTATGCGGTTAAACGCATTGGGTGAGTGAAAGGAACCTTGCCTTGGGCAAGGATGGATATCAGGGAGTCCCTCCGGGCTGTCTCACTAAGACCAAAAAGTTATAAAGCCATTCTACCGCGCACATGGAGCAATGGCTGAACCTAGGGTTGAACTCAGATCAATCGTTCATCAACCCTACCAGTAGGGAGAACAAGCATGTGTATTTATATGGTGATCGGTCGCGAGAGATGACATCTGCTTCTTCCTTGGTCAGCATAGCATTAACCGGCTTATAGCTTTGCAGTGCCGGATAGGGGGGGGGGCAAAAGGGGGCCAGTGCCCCGGGCGGCACTCAATAGGGGCGGCAAAAGTCGGCATGGTTCGTGTAATTTTAATATGGCGTCCGCGAAATCCCGAGAACCAAACCTGGAATAAGCTATGCGGGATAGGTACTCTCCAAAATTATAGACTTTGAGATCACAGCGCTGTACGTAATGAAGGTAACTAACCAAATGGCAAAAAAAAACAAAAAAGACAAGTCTGTTGCCTGTATCACCGTTGAGTGAAGGCTCAACAACGATACAACGTTCCTGTAAAGCCAAAATTTTTTTATGTTGCCCTGATCATTTTCATGTGTTAGCTGTGTGTGAAGAAGGGCGGCAACGGCAAAATACCAAATTTGCCCCCGTGCTGAAAACTTCTAGATCCGTCACTGTAGCTCAGTGGTAGAGCATTGGGCTATAAATCCGGAGGTCGGGTGTTCGAACCTGGTTTGAGGTGAATTTTTCATCTGTGGCGAGATGGGAATTTCCTTAGATCAGTTTCGAGCATTCTGCCGGCTACTCCGAATTAGGTTTTCCTGCAGTTTTCCTAATTCGTAAGGTAAATACCGGAGTAGTATAGAACAACTTAAGACCTTCTGCAGGGGCACCTCTAAAAAGCAATATGCGGGTCACTCTGTAATTGGGCGTAAGCCTGTTGAGGGCCTAGAACAAGAGGGTGTTTCAGGCAGAGATGTTAGTCGTCACGACTTGCAAGGCCGTAGCTAGGGAGGGGCCAGGGTGGGCATTGCCCACTCTGATAAGAAATGTTGCCCACTCTAGAAAAATTGGTTGGATCTTTAAAAAATAAGAAATTAAGTACCTAAATCGCTCAAAAAAAATTAAATTGTGTGTATTTATATTTAGTTATATTTATATCTAGAAAGTAAGGAGGTTGAGGAACGGAACATTCTTAAAGTTCTTTACAATCAACGTGATGCCTTTAAAGAATCTTACCAATTGTATGCAACTGTGGCTGTATTTGGCTGTAGCACAGCTATGTGTGAGTCTTCATTTTCGACCTTAACCCGAATAAATAGACCACAAAGGTACTCAATGTCCCATAGTCGAATGGCCAACCTAACATATTTAGCGTTTGATAGCAAACGTGCAAATAATATAAACTTGGATGTGTTCTTAAACAAATTTAATAACAGAAAAAATAGAAAATTGCAATTATATTAGCGTTTTGTATATTATCTTATTCGTCATGTTATTAACCTTTTTTTGTCTTTTATATGTATTAATGTATATGTAAACGCATTGATTTTATTTTTGCATTTCAAATATACCTTCTTAGTTGTTTTTTTTTGTTAAGGGATTTTTATCGTCACCTGCTTTTAAATTATTAAATAATTTTGCCCCCTCTGAATTTTGAGTTGCCCCCTCTGAAATTAACGTCTAGCTACAGGCCTGCGACCTGTGCACAGGAGAACCTCTGTAGAGCTGCCATGAAGTCGATAAAAGATTAGTCACCGGCGATAAGGGATGAAAGTGGATGTGGCGCATTCTTTCCTTGAAATATGATACGTCTTTTGGACTGTTCGACTTTCGAGAATGTGATTTTTCTAGAAACCTTTCGTTTACTACTTATATAAGCAAATTCAATTGTATTTAAAGGAAGAGTCAAGAGTCAACATCAACGCTGAAAGCTGAATACCTAAGTGATAAGTTACTCCATCCATCTTTTTATTATTATATACTACAAATTAATACTAATAAAATAATGTGTACATACACGGCTATCTTTCTCAACATACTGATGCACTGACTACTTTAAACGCCACCAAATGTTACTTACATAGTTACATCCGATGCGTTTCCATCCTCGGCTCTACCATCAAAAATAATAACAAACGTGCCACACACTCGTACGAACATACATAGTCCATATAGACATTTACATTTTTTTGTATTATCCAATAGTGATTTTTAATCAAGCTTTCGTCGCCGAACCAATATACCTGAATACGTCTCTGTAAAAAAAACAGTTACCGAGCGTTCCGCCGTGTTTTTCAAGCTTTTATGTTGGTTGCTAGGCAAAGGTTGCTGTCAAGTTGACAGATGGCGATTAGATAGGTTTACTGGTTTGTATCGCGTGTGTTTAGTTAATGTTGTGCTTTCGTGAGTGGAAGTTGTGTTGGTTTTTATCGTACGTGAGGTTAAGTAGTTTATTAGTACGTCAATAAAACTTTTAACAATATCTGCGACACTTTTTAATTCATTATGAACTTAAAAAACATACATTTTATTAGTAAAGGCTAGTGATTAGTGTTCCGACTTTTATGTGCATTCGATAAATAAATAATTGCTTAGTTCGCATTCAGAAGAGATTGATAAGCGAATTGTGGAAAGTACCAGATGTTTAAGAATGTCCAATACGTTAAGCGGAGGCGAAAATGTCAGGGCTGCGGAGACAACAACAGATTTGCTCTCTGTACGTGGTGCTCAATGTGCCACGTACACCTTTCCAGAGACAAAATCTCCAGAAGTGCGAGGACACGGGAGAAGCGCCAGTCACGGCGGAAGTACAACCCTCGGAGGTAACGTAACCGCAGGTGCTGCGGGTCGACCTTCGGCTCTTAAAATGGCACGAGGACATCAAAGAGCGTTTTCGCAAGGTCAAATAACAGATTCCTCCGCAGGGTTACGACCTGGACATAGTAGAGTAGGATCGAAAACTGATTTCATACTGCCTCCGGGACACAAAGAGGGCGAAAACTTGGCGAGCAGCGGTGTGAAGTCGTCTTCAAAAGGGCATTCTAGACAGGCATCTCGTTCGGATTCGATTTACACCTTAAGACGTTCGCTTCCTCCACCTTTGTGGCAGAGGCTCGTGTGTACTTTATTGAGACGATCTCCGCGTAGTGAACAAGAAGAACGTTATCGTATAGTAGTGCCTAACCATACGGTTCCTCCTAAGACGCCTAGAAAGGAACATCCAAATGGCAATAGACCCAATAACAAAGTTCGGACTACTAAATATACGTTACTATCCTTTTTACCTAGGAATTTACTAGAACAATTTCATAGGGTCGCTAATTTGTATTTTATATTTATCGTATTGCTCAATTGGTTTCCCGCGATTAACGCTTTTGGCAAAGAAATTGCCATGATTCCAGTACTGTTCGTACTCGGCGTGACCGCCGTTAAGGACCTTTTCGAAGATCGCAGACGACACGCCAGCGATAAGCGAGTGAACAATTCCACATGCCGAATATATCAAAGGTAAGGCTCGAGTCACCTACTAACTAAAATCCTAACGGTTTACTAAAATGTTGTTTACCGATGTGAATAGCAAAATTGTGAACACCGCAATGTGCACCTTGAACAAATACCGTTTCTGTTAATTTTACAATGGCCGGTCATTTGCGAATAATGTAATTTAAGTGTGTGTATAATTGGGCACCAATTAGGTAATAAAGCAGTTACGGTAAAAGGCCCAGCGACCCGACCGCGGTTTTTGCATGTAATTGTTCGCGGAATTTGGGAATTTTCGGCCCGTTTTGAAGTACTTGAGATGAGCTTTGTCGATAAAAATATCTACAATAGATATGCCGAGAGATAGGCTAAAAATTTCGATAGCGATAAGCCGATAACTATCTGTAGGTACCAAAAACGGACCAAGAACCGGCTTTTCATGTGCCAGTTATACTTACTTATTCGATAGATAAGCTCCTATTCCAATACGGCGCGAATGCATTTGTTTCTATGGATGCTAACTCTCGGGCAGTTCACAGTAATGAAAAAAAAGCCGGCCCTAAAGGTTGTAGGTTCACCTGAGCGAACCTTCTCGTTCTGTACCAACATTTCATAGTTGAAACCGAGGTTGAAACAAACCAAGTGGACATGAAGGGTGTATGTTACATTTAGAAGTTTCGGAGAAAAATCTGAAAAATGAAATTTTAAGTTTTTAATGTAGGACTATTCTATTTGAAATCTAAGAAAAACCACATTTACCGGAAGTAGGTACAAACCTAGAAACTAGAAGTAAAAAAATATCTCGAAAAATATCAACTAAATATGTTTTAGTCCAGTCAATCTATCTCGTTTCCGCATAGAAACCTTCAAATAAAATTTCTGTCAATGAAAAATAACTTAGTTCAAGAAATTCTGCCCTTAGCATATCAAAAAATGAATCTCCGAAAATGAC